TTTTTAAGAGGTCTGGTGTGGGAAATAGCTAACACTCAGAGAAAAAGTGAGAGAGGAGGGAGGTGTGGTTTTTAAATTCATAGATGATCAGTCATAGGATTGCAATCTGAATCATGATGGTCTTTTTGAAATCATTCAGATATGGCTGAAAAGCAAGCTAGTTTCCTTGGTGAAACTGCTGAAGCTCATGGAAAAGAATACCTAACCAAAAAGAGATCTTTTGTCAAGGCTGAAGGTTGCTACAATAATGTCTGATGGAAGCAGAAGGCTAGCCCTTGTGATTACCCTACATAACTTCAGTTGGGATGCTTTACAGGGCTACTCAAGAAATGGGCCTTGTGGCAGTAGAACATCCTTTGATGAATTCCAAAAGGTTGGAAGCATAAGTTCAGATGGTTCAGATGAAAAGCAAAAGATGATTCGGTATGAATGAAGATTTGCTTTGTTGAAAATCAAGCTTGCGTGGGGAGAAGTCAGTTAATTAACTTTTCCAGATGAAGCAATCTCTGTAATGAAAGCTGCCTTCTCAGAAAGCATATGTCAAGAGGAGAAAACAAAAATGAACACAGGAAAAGAATAAAACACTATGAGAAGGAAAAAAAACACAAGAAAAGATATATAAACAAACATTATAATGCAAACCTCTGTAGAAGGTATTTCAAAGTTTTCACACTATGGTGGAGAAAAGAAATGGAAGCATATGTCAGAAACTACTATATGTCTATATGGACAATTCACAGCCTAGCTAAACAGGTTCACATCAAAAACCTTCATTCTGGAGTACTCCAAATAAAATGTAACTGTGTGATTTCATAGAGACTGCAGTAGAGTTGGAAGGTGTTATATACGCTAAACCTAATTGGACTTATTTATAAAAGGACACATTCAAAAAACAAATCTCCACTAAAATGGGGAGTCTTAAGTTCTCCTGTTTCTTTGAAAAAAGTAATACTTAGAAAGTATGTATCTAAAGGCTTCCACTATCCCAAATCAAAGGCGAGGGCTTGAAATGAATGTACAAGTTGATTGCACATTTGATTGGATTCTTAGACTCCTTTCTCCTCTCTGGGCCCATTGACAACTGTAATGTGTTTCATTCAGAGGAACACAATTATAGTAAGGAGAGATTGCTATACAGTATTAAAATGGTGTGCTGAATTTCTCTCTTGCTCTTTTTCTGATATTATTAGGACCTCTGTGGATTTTAATAGGGATTGAAAACTTTCATCCAGGCAGCAAATTGCTGCTTAGCGTGCTCTTTGTGTATCATCTTAGTGTCTACTGACCTTGCTTCCAATTTTATATAGTTTAGAAATGGTCTTTATGTTCTTTCCAGTATAAAACAACTGAGTTTATTTTTCATGGTAAATGCAGCTTCTATCCAATTAGTCTGTTTAATCAATCAGCTATTGAGTGCACCTTTGTCCTGGATAATACATCCTCTAGAGCAGAGGTGTTAAACTGCCAGCCCGCGGGCCAGTTGCATCATATGGAGGCCACACCCACCCCAGCTCTGGCAATGCAAAAAAAGTCGCAATACGTCGTGACACGTCACGTCACGTGATGCGGCAAGTTTGACACCCGTGCTCTAGAGATTTCAAAACATGTTCAACATTTAATTGATTTGGTTCTCTGAAATACTTCATATTAATATGGCTCAGAATCAGAGAATTGTGTAGCAAACAAGGTAAGCTTCTCTTTGCTTTTTTTCTCTCACCTCAAGAGAGAATTTGAAGGTATTTGAAGATCTGAAGATTGTGGAAAGCAGTTTACAATACAGTATGAGTAAAAAATAATGGGTTTAAGGAAAGAAGTGGAGCCTCTGGTTTCATTATCTAATTGTACAAATTGGAAGACCTTAAATTAATGCCCGCAGCATCCAAGATGGCACTATGGAATCCCAACATTAAATAAAAATGGGAAATAGACAGACAGACAGACAGACAGACTGTGATGACCCAGGGCCCCGAACGGAGGCAAAGCAATTAGCTGGTCAGAATAATTGTCTTTGTAAGCACTGCCAACGTTCACCCAACAGCCCCCACATATGCTGGCACAAGTTCAATAAAACAGTCAACGGAGTTCAACAGTTCTTTAAAGTAAAACAGATAACAAAGTATGATCTTTTCAATGCCCAGCTTGCCTGTAATCTGCAAACTGCAAAACTGAAGGCAGCAAGGAAAACTCAGCAGGAAACAAACTTGATCCAAGATACAAAGAGTCCAGGTACAAGAGCTCACATCACAAGAGTTCACATTTGTTCCCGGCAAATGCCCCACCCCACAGCATCTCCTTAAATGCCTACTCCCCAGATGTGCCTTGTAAAGTAGGGTGTGACGCTCTCCTCCCGAGCAAGTGAGCCTGCCTCCGTTGTTCCCTCCTCCTCTCTGCTCTCCTTGCTCTGGGATCTGGTGGGGAGGGGCCTTGCTCCTCGCCTGAGCTCTGCCTTCCCTGTTCCAAACTTGAAGGGCCCTGGCCTGCTTCAGCCTGTTCCTCCCTACAGTCCTCAGAAGCCACAGACACCCCCTCCTGGGCCTCAACAGGGAACTCAATGTCATCCTCAGAGTCAGGCTCGGACGGAGGCATGACACAGAAAGACAGACAGACAGATCATGGTGAATTGAGATCTTTCAAGATGTGAGCCTATTTTGTGATAAAAATATTTTTATTTTTGCTGTCTCTGCAATCACATCACATTGCCTGAACAAACTGCTTTCCTTGGTTTAAGGGCTGTCTCCCAGACACATTGCTTTATTAAAACTATTCTGATCAATGTGAGATCTTGCTCAACAAATTTCATACCCTAGTAACTATAATTTATTCATGGTCTTTGAACTATTTTCTGATAAGAAGAACCATTCTGCCTTGCCACTTAGATTCATCTACTTTTCTAATGGTGTAAAGTTTAGAAACCTTAAATATCAGAGCACTGAACAGAATCTTCAAAGAAAAATATGTCTTGCAACATATCAAGAAAAGCCACACTTCTCTGTGCATTAATGATTCACCTGTGGAGATGGTTACCAGCATCAAATTCTTGGGTGTGCAGCTAACAAGTAGGCTGACTTGGTCGCTCAACAGCGAGAAACTGGTGAAGTGGGCACAGCAGCGCCTGCATTTTTTGCATTCCCCTGTCCTCACCACTTTCTACAGGGGGACAATCGAGAGCATCCTGTCATACACCATCACGGTCTGGTTTGGAGGCATCACTGCTTCAGACAGGAAAGCGGTGCAGAGAGTGGTGAGAATGGCTGAAAAGATCATTGGCAGTTCCCTTCCTCCCATCCAGGACATAGCACAGAAGCGTTGTTTGAGCAGGGTCCGCAAGATTATCTGGGACATTACACATCCTCTTCACAACCTGTTTTCCTTGTTATCTTCTGGGAGGAGGCTTTGTGGTATCCGTAGCAGAACATCCAGATTCAGCCTTAGTTTCATCCCATACAGCATTAACCTTGTGAACTCTCAAGCTTCCTCCTTTCGTTATATATTCAAGATGGACAGTATTTAATATTTATTTGCTATGTATATGTAAGGATGTGTGTCTGTACATATGTTGTTCATAGTATGTTTAGGTGTGTGTCATATATGTGTTTCACTTTGAGAGTGGGCAACTAAATTCTATTTTTGATGTGTGCCGTTGTGCCCACAGTAAAAAAATGACAATAAAGGTTATCTTATCTTATGCTTCTCACCACATATGTTTCAAGTACACAGCAAGTTCAATATGCAATTGCACCTTCTTCCTTCTGGTCTAACATATTACAATACAATGATCTCAATTTCAAAGTAATTTTCTAAAATCTATACATCTATTTCAAAGGATCCATGGTTGCACAGTGCACACAGCTAATTGGGCAATATGTCTCTGTAAAACACCCAGAAAGGGAGATAATCTGGAAGTAGCAAGGTAGAAAGCATGTCACTTGGCAAAAATAGTTATCATTTTGAATTTATGTCGTAACCAAACCAACATGATTTACCCAATATATTGTAACAATTCAATCCAAAATTATATGACCCAGTTGGTTCTATGAGTAAAGAACTGCACGTTTGGGCACTAACTTGGCGACAAGTACCATTGGATACAGAGGGACACAATTCTGAGTCAACATGCTAAGCTCTCTAATTAGTTAACCTATAACAGTTGCAGACTATTTGGTATCTTCCAAAAATGTTAGATTATAACTGCCTTAAGCCTCTATGGAGAAAGATTTCTGGGAGTTATAAGAAAAACACCTGAAGGCATGTTGATGTCTATCTCCATCATGAATAGTGAAACTCCAAAAACAGTGGCTAATAGGTGAGCGCAAGAAGACCAGCATGACTAGATGTATTTGACTCATATTGTTCCTCCTATAGACTCCAAACTTACAATAACTGAAAGAGGTGTGTGATTTTCCAATCAAACCTACAACCAACTCATGCCTGGTACATAGACTTGCTTTTAAATTAGAAGCTCACTGACCTTGCACATATAAATTTACTCTATCATTCATAACATTTCTGCCTAGTTAGGTGATAATCCTTAATCATGTAAGACTAATCTTAAAAAAAAAACTAAATAGACTGGCTATGGATGAGAGACTATGAGAAAATTCCAATGCTAAACTGAAAAATTGAAAAAATGATCACAAAAGATGACAAACACACTTTCATATTATTGCTAAAAATAATTACATAAATGGGTTCATGAAGTTGCCAGCATAACAGCCCTGTTCAAGCCTGACATACTTACCATTCTCACTGATAATATACTTGGCCAAATTGTCAACAGAAAATCACTCCCTCCCAGCACTTTCTAAGTGCTCTGGATCTACAATTCCCAAACCTCCAAGCCACCATGGCCATCAGATAATTTCGTACAGCCAAAACTGGCAAAAAAAATGCGCAGGTTGGGAACTTTAAGAATTATTATCTGGGATATACCAATTTGAAGAAAATTATGCTATACCTGTGGAGATTTTATGCCTAAGAAGAAATTTAAATTGAATACTTACTGAGAGAACAAAGTCCTTGACCGAACTATGAACTTGAATACATATTCCAGAGCTTTTAGCGTTCTTAATATAGGTTCACACTGTTGTCCTCTGCTTGAAGTATCCAAATAAGTCTTCAGAACTGCCATTAATTTCCTGAAATCAGGAGAACATGTTACAAAATGGAAAAATATCTTTGTCAAATTAGATTTCTAAGTATGCGAGTGCAAATATATGTAATATATGTTGTACACGGCAGATTGTTTTTTTGTTTTGTAATTCAAATGCAGGTATTAAAACTTGGGAAAAAACACACTATTACTATTCAACATTATTATTTCTATCTTTCATACAAGATGATCCTGGATGGCAGCCATAATTATTTCATAGAATAATATTACATTAGTACAGGATAAGGTTGAGAACTCTTTGAAACAATTTGCATAGGACCACTATAAATACATTTCTAGTTTTTTTGTTGCACAGAGAATATTTTTGCCAAGATTAGAATGATCCATGGAGAATCAGTATAGAAGAAGTGAGATCTATTCCCTTGTTCCTTTCTCTTCTACATGCATCAAACAGCAGGACAGAATATGATTTAGGGGCTTCCCATATTGACTTCCCCATCAGGATTGTTATATACTTACTTGTAGGCTAAAGTTGCACTGAAATGTTGCTGAATGTAAGCCTCCAGTACAGTATTGAAATGCTGAAATTTTCTATCGGCAATGAGTCCTATTACATAAATCTGTAACACATTAACAGAATAAGGGTTTTCATATGTATAATATCACTTGGAAATGTTTTTTAAAGGAAGAGGGAAGAAGGGTTCCTTCTTTATGGACTCCACTGAATTCAGATTCAATTCAATGGTTCCTATTCCAGATTGTTTACTTTGGCAAAGCACTTGGATAGGGTAAGTGCAGATATTTTCATGCAAGAAATAAAGAAAGAAACAAGAGCCTGTGAGCTCTGCCGTATAAAAAACAGATGGAGCTTAGATTACACTCTTGTGGCTGCCATCTTGATTTTTGGTCCATACCAAGCAGAAAATTGTGAGAGGGAAAACTACTTATGTCATTTGGAGCTCTCCACCTCAGTAGATAGGGATGTAAGGAAATCCACCCAGCCTGCAGAAGAAATGGATAAATGCCATTGCCAAAACAGATATGGGAAAAGCTGTATGTTGCAATGAATTAAATATGCTGGCATTTTTTCAGTTCCCAGTCCAAAATTCACACAAAAATGTATTGACTTGCTAAAATCAGTCCAAAAGTGAACCTTTATTTGAGAAGCAAGCATCCAAATACAGTATGTCATATAGAAGTATTTGCAGTTTTAAACATACATGTTTAAAAATACTAAGAAAAAAATGCATGCATTTATTTTATGCTTAAAAATATATTACGGAATGTATATGAAATGTGCACAACAAGAAAAGTTGTATTGCAAAATTTCAAATATTTGGGGAAGCTGGAAACAATAGGTGTGGATTTTTCAGATTCACATGGAAAAAAATTAGAACATGGAGAAAAAGAATACGTGAGATTCTACCTAACAAATGGATTAATATCTAAACATGTGAGACTCCAATGTGGACTTAATTAATAACTATCTCCTGAAATAGATAATTCTGATGTTTCTAGTTCCACATAGATAGTTTACCCTGAATGCAAGGAGGCTAATTATAGCATGGATGAGAAGTGAAGCCATCATGCTCACTTTGGTGGCATCATGCTCTTTTGTGTCTTGTTTCTTAAAAAAAAAATGCAGAATGCTAGAAAAGAGCTTACTTGATTAAAAGAGTTGATACAGTAATCCTTACCAAAGCATCAAAGACAAGAATGTCATATGCGTCATTATAAGAATGTTCCATCATGATATTAAATAGGGCATCTAAAGTATCCTGGAGGAACTACAGAAAGGGAGCGAGGGAATGAAAAGAACAAGCAAATATGTTAATAGGTTTGACACTATGACAGGATAAAAATTCTTTGAAAAATATTATGATTTGTCTAAGCGGAAAACATCCCACCCGGCCCCAGGGAAAGTGTTTCACACCTCAAAGAATTCATCCTGATAGCCCTGTCACCTGGAGCTTTGAAGATTTATTTTCATCAGAGCACACATTTAAATCCAACAAGCACAACCATGATTATTACGTTGTATTTAATGCTAAGTTTAGCATCTTAGCTGTGAATTGTCAGAAGGGGACTACAGCATGGCCCCTTAACATTTCTAAAGCCCACATCAGTTGTTTTCAACAGTGAGCAACTGTGAATGTTCAGTAATACCGTTCCCTGCCCAAAGTGGATGGATTTTATAACCAATTATTTTGTCAGTTTGGTGGGATGGTTAAGGCATCAGGCTAGAAACTAGCAGACTGGGGGTTCTAGTTCTGCTTTAGGCAAGAAGCCAGCTGTGCAATTTTGGGCCAGTTACTTTCTTTCAGTCCTGGGAAAGAGACAATGGCAAACCATTTCTGAAAAACTGCAGGGACTTGTCCAAGCAATCTCAGAGAATCAGATGTGATTGAATGGAAGGGGGGAAAATGCCCCTTGAAACACAACAGTAGGAAATGATAAATCACTCTCTCATCTCTCTGACTGTATTCTACACCATTATCCATATTCCTAGCCAAATAGGGAAAGAAAAATGAAAAGAAAATGAATGTTCCTCTATCCTTCCCCATAAGTTCAGTTATTTTCTTCATTTGGTTATAAGAAGCTTCAATGTAAGAGACAAATTTGCTTGATGCCATTCATCATTATCCCACTCTTTCCTAGTCTTAGGTCCCTCAATAGGTGCATGTCATTTAATTTAAATCTGATCATATCTGGGAATCTATGATGGGGAACAGGTGCTTTACTTTAATATGAATCCTGGGTCCACTTGAATATTCTGCATTGGAAAAACAGGAAAAAGCTGCATATAACAGCTTTCAATTCTTGGAACAGCTCCCACAAAATAATTAAGTTCTTTATGAATTTTTTCAGGGGCTGGATGGTCATTTGTCAAAAATATTCTTGTGGATCCTGCACTGAGCAGGGGGTTAAAATAGGTAGCCTCTAAGATCCTGTTAAACTCCATGATCTGTTGAGTCTATGAATTTTGGGAACTGCCTGCTGTCCCTCTCAAAAAGGCTTTGACACATGATGATGATGAAGTAGTAAATTGATGTTTGTTTAAAATAAGACATTGTGAGTAATCTATGAAGTCCAAACTTGCTACCCCCAAAAAGCACTTGTACTGCCTAATATTTCTAAACATTAATTAAAATGTCAAATGTTTGAAATATTAATTTTTAGGGTGAGAAATAAACATTTAAGTGCACAAATATATGAGCCACTGTAGAATAATCTGGCCCAATTTAGTTTGTTGTTTATGCAGTTAGCAGACTGCATAAAGAAAAACAGAGATTAATCCCCTTGTTCTGTTCCTTGGTGATCATGCAGTTCCTCCTCTCTGCAAGGAACTATGCATTAAGAGCCTGATTTTTTTCTTTTAATTCTTTGCAGCATTATAACCTCTACTCAATTTCATAGAAAGAACTCTGTCATGACAATGACAGATTTTACCACTAACTTAAATATTTTCCAAACAAGCTATGATATTCATATAACAGAGAAGGGAATGATCACTGAACGGTTTTTATTATCCTTGCAACCATGAGAACATTTTCTCTGTTTGCTTTTTGTTTTATTTGTACTAACAAAGGCAAGCCTTGATATTCTGCTTACTATGAGTTAATCATGCATTAAAGACTAAAGTCTTGAATCAGGGGATCTGTTATTGTTACAAATGGGCACCCCCAGCATTTTTATAAGTTTGGGAAATGCTAAAGCAGCAGCTCACTGATTCTAGTTTAATCAAGGTGAATGTCCCCAAAGAATACTTACGGGAAGCTTCTGATCAAGAGAAATTGAGTTATGTTTGCTTTATCAAATTAGTGCTACTACTGCTTCTCAGAACAGTATTTTGCAGACAGTTATCTTCTTCACTGAAAAATGGTGCTCAAAATGAGGATGGCAAGGAACACCCAAGTGGCCCTTGTAAGGGTAAAGTAGGGCTCACTTTCCAGTTTAATAAATCAAGTTTAAACACATAACCTTCACTAGCAATAATTGTGGGCCCAATTCAGCATGAAGGCTTTGTAAAGTAATACTTAGCATGGAGGAGCAATATGTTGGAGTAAGAAAACAGAATCATTCATTCTTAGAGTATACATCCCACTGCAGAATGTATCTGGACAGTTGTGGTTGTATTACCCAACATAAGATGTTCTGCTCTAGAACGTTACAAGGCAGATTATCTGCAGTGGAGTATGCAATTTTATAAAAATTGTTCCATTTCTGTCTTGATTAGTGCTAGATTGAGTAAGCAGGTGAATACTGTACAGTTCTGAGTTGTTGTTGTTTAAACCAATTTGTGATTTTGCAGTGCTACTCTATTACATTTAGGCTGCCTGTATGTGTTGTAATTCTTCCAGACTGATTGAATTTAGTTCTTTTAGAAGTTTCATAAAGCAAGCAGCAGAAAAAGTCATGTCTATTTCATTTGATCAATTGCAAAGATCTAACAGATAACAGTTAAGAGAAATCAATTGCATCTCGCTTAGCCAATCCAATCTTGGTAATAAAAGTTAGACCAGTCTCTTATTCTTTATCCATTTATTGGGCTATCTGACATTTTTTAACAATACCAAAAAGAAGGGGGGCAAGGGAAAGTTAAAATAACATTGTGACTAGAACAAAGGATGGGAAAATATGTCTAATCCTCATTAAATCTCCTATGATACACCATATATTCCTTAACCTAAACCAATATAGATTACTGCGTTCTTTCTCTCACCTTCTCATAACATAAAACCAGATTTTTAAGCACGTTTTTATTCAACCTAAAATGAACTCACAGCTAAAGTGCTCTGTGAGCTATAATCGTTCACAGTGAGTTTCAATTCTTAAAATGCAAGTTAACATTCCTAGATTCAAGTACTCCATATTGAAAAACAGAATCAGCGTTAAAAATTAAAACTAAAGATCCCATAGAAACTGTAAAAAAAAAATATCTCAGAGGCTAACAGGCAGGTAAAATTTATCTAAAATCTTAGATAAAGTCAAGGTGCCAGACATAAAATGCAAGAATATATTTACAGACAATTTCCTCTCCGTGGAATAAGACCCCTCTACTCTTTCAAAACTATGCCTAGCATACCTATGAATATATGCATGGTAATTTATATAATTGCCCCTTGCTGTTCCTGGTTTTGGAAAAATTTCCTCATGCTGGCAGGCAGATGGCTCTTCAGTGATTTTCTTTAGTTGATTGAAAGCATGGTGGAAGAATCTAGTGGAATTAATAGAACCTTTTCTATTACTGATTACTTTTCCCCTCACAATTTGGTCTGGTGCCTCTTCAGATGCTGTGAGGCCTTCATCAGGTCTGGCTGAAATATAGTGCCCACTTTCAAAAGCTCTCTTGAAAATGTGTTTTAAGCCAGCATTTTCATATTGCATTATAGGAAGCATGTCAAACTCAGAATTCTGAATATCTGCACATTATAACTATAATTTATAAAGACGGATAAGGCCTGGAAAAAACAAAGAAGTTTCCTGAGAACAAGAGTAAAACTAGTTAAAGAGATGCCACCTGTCCAGAGTTTGCAAGAAAAGGAAGGAAGGAAGGAAGGAAGGAAGGAAGGAAGGAAGGAAGGAAGGAAGGAAGGAAGGAAGGAAGGAAGGAAGGAAGGAAGGAAGGAAGGAAGGAAGATTAAACCTAATAATCCTGATGTGCTAAACCAGGGGTAGTCAACCTTGGCTCTTTTATGACTCGTGGACTTCAATTCCCAGAATTCCTGAGCCAGCTTAGCTGGCACAGGAATTCTGGGAGTTGAAGTCCATGAGTCATAAAAGAGCCAAGGTTGACTACCCCTGTGCTAAACCAACAACAAACAAGCACACTTTCTTGAAAAAAGGAAGGATTGTTGTCTGTAATTCTTCCTGCCCTGCCCACACTGCAAGGGGACATCTCGTACTGTTTCCTGCTATTCCCAAACTATATAAGAGCCCATCTTTGAGAGAGATGGGCAGTTTAGAAATATGAAATATAAATACATAAATAACAAGAAAGGTGGTTTTTTTCATTCAATGATTTTGTCCAATTCCATGAGAAAACTCATGGCAGTTTTCTTGGCAAGGGTCTTCTCAGAAGTGGTTTGCCATTGTCTTCTTCCTAGGGCTGAGAGAAAGTGACCAGTCCAAGGTCACCTCAATTTCTAAGTGACAGTTCTAGTATTGCTTGCATAAATTTTGGAAGGAATTGGGGAAATGTAACTTGTTTATTCAGCGAGGAAGCAAGCAACAACACAATGGTTGGGTTTATACAACAAGTTACTTCACAACAGATTTTCTTTGGTTTTAGCTTAATATATTGTGGTAATGTGATAATTGACATTTAATTATCATACCCTATTATGAGAACCAGTATACAGTATATTGTTACAATAAATTGAATAAACTATATCTTTACAACCAGTGTAGTGTGTTATGTGAATAATACAAATCCTTGGGTCCAGAAAATAGTATTTTGCTCCCTTAGATGTTTTGAGAAATTATTCTGGGTAATTTCCACTTTAGTTGGCATTCAGCATACTTCCCATCTATCCATACATCCAGATCAGAGCAAACATATGCACCACTCAGTACAAAATTATAGCTAGAGATTTACTTCAATAATCAACAAACCTTTAAAAAAAACCAGTTAATTGCCCAAAACAGAATAAAATTCAACCTATTCCACATCTGCTGCCTAAAGTTGCTTTTTTACTCAGCTAACAGTGAAATCATCTCTGAAAATCTTTATCATGTATTCAGTTCTTGCACCTACAGAAAACAATAAATTCACACAAATATCTCAAAGTTCTCACCGAACTGTGATACATAGAAAGCCTTCAATGAAAGAAAATATACCTTCACAATTTCTTCACCATCTACAATCTTCAATTTTTCTAAGTTTTCCTTCAAGAGCTCAGGTTTCATTCGCCACTTCAAAAGGCCCAGTAAACCCACTACAGAAAAGAGAAGGAACATATTCAAGTACAAAAAGACAGAGAATACTTTTCAAATACAATATAGAATATTAGGGTGTTGTTGTTTTTTTACCATTTTGAGTTAGCTTAGTTGAGCAAATGAGAGTTGAAATGGCAAAGGAATCTCTTGAGCTTACAGAGAGCCCTCCGATAATGCTTGAGCTCCGACTTAAGGTTGAAAGTTTAGGTTCTACTTGATTGCGGGTTGAAGGGAGGCTCAAGTACATGTTGACATCTTCCATTTTCTTATTATCACCCTTGAAAACAAAGCATTAATGAGATGCACTGACTTCAGATGAAATTAAGCAGAACTTCTGTGATTTTGCTGTACTCATCCAGTACAAACTCCTGCTTCCACACTACCAAACATTTCTACACGATAAGCCACTTGTTTAAAAATCTGAAGTGAGACATGAGAAAGCAAAGGTCTGCAGTTGATAAAGAAAGTGAAAGTACATAAATCCTTGTACATGTTGGAACAATATGTACATCTCCATCCTGGGCCACTCAAGCAATGCCAACAAGGTTCTTTCCTGGTACCTGGATGTTATCAGGAATTTTTGGGGGGAGGGGCAGTAAGCCTTTGTCTCAACCCTGACAAAACTTGTAGCTGTGGATTTTAACTCCACCCCCTGCCCTTAGTTCTATCCCTAATTCTTCCTGGGTGTGTACTTCCAAAGTCAAGCTCTGCTTGAAGAACTGGTGGCAGCTGGGGATGGAGGGAGGTGCACTTTGTGCAATTTCAGCCTAATCACTAATTATGCTTCTTTCTGGATTGGGAGAACTTGCTCATGGTAACTCATATTGCATTCCATTTGGATTATTGTAATTCACTCTACATGAAGCTGTCCAGGATCAGTGTTGGGAAACGGGCTGCCATATAAATTATTTAAATAAATTAAAAAGTATGTTGTTGTTAGTTGCTAAGTCATGTCCGATCCATTGCGACCCCATGGACAACGTTCTTCCAGGCCTTCCTGTCCTCTACCATCTTCTGGAGTTCATTTAAGCTCACGCCTACTGCTTCAGTGACTCCATCCAGCCACCTCATTCTCTGTCATCCCCTTCTTCTATTGCTCTCAATATTTCCCAGCATTATACATTTTAACATATTCAAGTTATGTAGATAAAGGGGCTTTGCTGTAATGGATTTTCAATGTTTTGCTATATTAAAGTGGAAGTACTCTGAAAAAAGTGAGAAACCACAAGGCTATTAGCTGTTAAAGGACTAACGGGATTACAACCAGGTTAACTGAAAGACCATGCCAGTACTTGCATTAAACTATTCCACTGGCATATCCATTCTGCATTTGACTCCAAGTAAACCTGCTGTAGAAAAGGGATTAAATAATCATAAAATAAAATAAAGTCACACTGTGTAGATTAAAGTAAAGCAATTAATTAATCTAAGTTATGGCTTTCTTTTAAAATGCCCAAATTGGTCTTTAATGCCAGGATCACACTTTAAATTGGATAAGTGAATCAATAGGCAGCAAGTGTAAGTAGTACGGAATTACTCATATTACCATGTTCACCTTTTTCAATCCCTCTTTAACCATAGCTCAGTGCAATAATCCAAACTGTTCATAAAAAAAGGGTATATCATTGTTATGAGATCTATTTTCCCCAGGTAAGATTTCTTCTCTTCAAGGAAACCTTGAAAATATCCATTAATGAGTTATTTCCAAAATGAAACCACTCTGCTTACACGCATGTTTATGGCCAATAATTTGCCAATAGACTCTAAGGCTATGTGGAGCAGCAATGCTTCGCTTAGTATGGTTGACTCCACTCCAGCTGCTGGAGTAAGCTACTTCAAATCAGTGTCTCAGCATGTTCTGCCTTTACACCCTCTATTAAAAGCATCAAGGCAGGGCACTTTGCTTCAAAGAAAAGTCAGTCAAAAGCAAAGAGCGGATTCAGCACAGTATAGCAGCTTTGTTGTGACATGCAGAAACTGGACACCACTTTGCTCAAAGTGAAACACTTTTTCCTTTTTTTTTTTTACATGCATGTCAAGAGTATTCTGTAGAAAGTAATCAGTTGCCAAATCACTGAAGCCATAGGCTTCATGGTAGTTGCAATTCCTCTGAAAGAATAAATGATGCAAACTTCAGAAAATTGAGCTAATTGCTAGTTGAGTATAGCTGGATTATTATTATTATTATTATTATTAATAATAATAATAATAAATGTCAGCTGCAGCATTTGCACCTGCTTTGCATGTGCTTGCCTTTTACAGACAAATAAATTCAATCTCCCATACCAAGCGATTGGATGCAGTTTTGCACTCTGAATTATATTCTCGTGGATGGAGAAGTCAAAGCCGGTGCTTTAAATCTCATCTTTAGAGTTTAGACTGAAAGTGGACATAAAAGAGGTTTTCCCAACAATTGTATGCAAATTATGGAATATTCCCTAAAAAGCACTGCTAGAACTACCTTTGTTATTCTTTCTACTAGTCAATATTTTATTTTCCAAGACTTTCAATGGAAAATGATCACCTTTTATTATTATTGGCTTCGTCAATAAAACTATTTTGCCATGATACTTTTTTTTCAAAATAAACAGATTTCGTATTCCTAATTGAAGTCTACAATGGAATACCCTGTGGAACACCTTTCTCCTTAAGATGCAGTTGGCCTGACGATTTTAACCGTCCGGAAAGCTGTAAAAAGGTGGCTTTTGTCTCAAACATTGCGATAGGACAGGGGTAGGCAACCTTGGTTCTTTCCTGGCTGGCTCAGGAATTCTGGGAGTTGAAGTCCACGAGTCATAAAAGAGCCAAGGTTGCCTACCCCTGGGATAGGATGAAGCCAGAGTTGAAAGAGAGTGTTGTGGTTGCATCAAGGGAACCATCTGGGTATGGCACCAAGTTTTGTTATTGTTTTTTTAATAACTTTTTGCTTTAATATTTTTTTATGTTTTTATACTATGTGTCAAGGTTCTGACTAATGTAACCAAGTAAAACAAAACTCTGAGGCTTGAAGTCTCCTCAAAGCACAGGTTTACTGGATACATAATATCAGCACAGTCAAAATTGAAACCAATTCTAAAGTTTTCCCCAGAGATTCAAAGTAACTAAAAGTAACAATTCCCTCCCCTCTACTATGCTGTAAACCACACTACCCAATGAAAGTAATTGGCAGGCTTCTTAATTCATCTTCATTCATTCCATTCCAGCACCTGCAGGAATGACCTTGTTTCCATTCTCTTCCCCCTTGTTCCCCCCTCCCAATTATGTGTCAACTTAGAACGACAAAGATGGCTTCAGCCAGGCATGTTTCAGAAGT